TTCAATACCATGGCATCAAGAGCCTCCCTAACATAATGGGCCACCCCTCCACCTCTTCTCCCTTTCCTGTCTCTTCTGAAGAGCTTGTAGCCATCCAGTGCAGTGGTCCAACTATGTGAGTCATCCCACCATGTTTCTGTGATGGAAATTACATCATAGCTCTGCTGTTGCACCATGGCCTCCAGCTCTTTTTGTTTGCTACCCATGCTGTGCGCATTACTATATGTGCACCTCAGCTGGGCTGCTGATTTCACTCCTATGTCAGGCTTAGCACCCTTGGGTGTGTTTCCAGACAGCCCCTTCCCCCTTCAAACCTTCTAAACCTAGAAAAGCCCTCTGAATGAGTTCCTCCAGTTCCTGAGCTAAAATCCTTAACACAGAGATGGTGCCCATCCGGTTCCAGCAGGTCAGGTGCCATAAAAGTTGCCCCATGATCAAAGAACTCAAAATTCTGCTGATGCCACCAACCCCTGAGCCACTTGTTGATAATGTGAGCTCTCCTACTCCTTTCATCATTTTTCTCTGCCACCAAAGGGACTACCTGAACACTACCTGTGCTCCTGCCCTATCAACCACTCGACCCAGTGCCCTAAAGTCCCTTTTAATTACCCTGATGCTCCTCTTTTCAATCCCATCACTGCCAGCCTGGAGTATCAGCAGTGGGTGATAATCAGAGGGCTGAATCAGCCCAGGTAGTCTCTCAGTGATGTCCTGCAGCTGGGCCCCAGGGAGGCAGCAGACCTCTCTGTGGGGTGGGTTGGGTCAATGGGTCATGGGGCCTTCTGTTTCCCTCAGAAGGGGGTCACCCACAAGGACTACCCTTCTTTTCTTTTTAATGCCAGAGGCAGTGATCTGTCTGACAGATGAGGTGTAATTGGGAGGCTCACTGGGCAGATAATTTTCTTCTGAATCATCTGTCTGTCTCTCCAGATCCAGGGGCTCATACCTATTCTGAAGTGGCACCTGGCTAGGGGATGGGGGTCAGGAGGAACTTTTATTATTACCTCCCCAAGCAGGGACCCATTTCCACTCCCCTTCATCCACCAGGTGTCCTTCTATTTCCTGGCAGTGGGAGGCATGGGAGTCCTCTGGTGGGCCTCCCTCAAGGATGGAAGGGTGGAACTCCACCAGTCTATTTCCCTTTCACTTTCGCTGATATTCCTTAGCCTTTCAACCTCCTCCCTGAGCCTGGCCACCAGCAAAAGGAGACCATTCACCTGTTCACACTGCGAGAAGGTTTCTTCTGCAATGCCCCCTGGAACCACTGATAGCTCAAACACTCTGCCAGGAAGGGTCTGGACAGACACATCCTTTTGGAGGGTTCTATTTGGCTACATGCACTTGTACTAACTGCGGCTTTTCATCGTGCAAAAACCATTACTAACAAAAAAACCCCAAAACCAACCAACCAACAGAAACACAACAAACTAAAAACTCCACTAGCAGGAGGGAACCTGCAACCCTGCCTGTGTGAACTGCCTCACCTCGCTCCTGTTGGCGCAGGAGGAAAGCCCTGCCCTGCCCCTTTGTGGCTAAATTATCACCAAAACAGGATAAGCAGCTCTACCAGTCCTCAGCAGCAGAACATCAGGACCCTCAAAGTCCCTGTCATGGTGTCCCTTCCAGTTTGCTGTAAACTCCAAGGGCTTGCTCAGATCCTGCTAGGAAAAATGAGGAATAAATAGAGAACATTCCACAAGGAGTTGCACCACATGAAAGAATAAGAAAAGAAAAAGAAGGAACAGGGGTTACAGACTGCAAATAATAACTTATGGATTCAATTTGCATTCTTCTATAAATTACATTTTTTATGGCTAAGTGGTTTATTTATTTATATTTAATAATGTATTTTATTTATGTTTTGCTCCAAGTTACTCAACTTAATTACTGCTCCTTTTATTTTTTTCCCTTTTTCCTCAAGAGGTGGGTGATACTCCAAGCCTGGCAGTGTTTAAGAAGCATTTGAGCAATGGTAGAGGCTTTAACTTTTGGTCAGCCATGAAGTGGTAAGGCATGATATTTGTAGTGATCTACATGATCTAAGTGATTAAATTATAGTCCCTTGCAACCGACTCAACTGAAATATTCTGTTGTATTCTATTCTCTTCTATTTTCTCCTGTCTCTAAGAGAGAGGAGATTCCTGCTTGTTCATTTATGAAGGTGCTTGATTTCCTCATGCCTTTGGTGTCAATCACCTAATCAATATTTCTCTCCAGAAACTGCCACATTCATGACACACAGAAAGGGAAGTAATGGAGTTCCTTTGGCAGTCAGCAAATATATTCATCATTTAGGAAGTGCAGCAGTTCAGTTTGGAAAAAATCAGATTTTAGTCTGCACAAAAAGTCCATTTAGCTTTTTTTTTTTTTTTTTAGGCTTGATGACATATGTATTAAGACAAAAGTTCCAGAAAGGATTATGATGCAGCTTTGGTACAGTGCAAGGAAAGGAAGGCTGGATTACAGGAGCATAAAGATGTGGGATGTGTGAAGGAACAATGGTTATCAGATAGGTATCGAGTCATAATTTGATGCTTATCTTTTTAGCAGTTGACATCTTTGTTGTGAAAAGACAGATTGCAAAAGCAATCAGTGCTGCTTAATGTGGGTAGAAAACTGAGGAGCTGGAACCTTGGTAATGTAAGGGCTGTGGTGCAGATTAATGAAGGGTTTGTTCCCAAATGGATTGTCCCCCTAGGAAGGAGCTGCTGTATGCTATAATGTTATCAGCATTCCTATCAGAGCAGTGTCTGACACGTGATAATGTCATGAGTGTCTTGCATGTGACAGGCAGCTCCTTCTCTCAGCAAATTACCTGGCTCATCCTGAGGCAATGAAAGCTTCAGTTATCCAAGGGCTTGACATAAATCCATGTAAGGTCTTAAAACCTCACTACCATTTTGAGCGCTTGAGGTCAGTTTTAAAAAAAATCTAAAACTCCAGCTAAGCTCGTGCTTGTCTCCTGACATGCCCAGGTTCAAGCCTTGTCCAACCTGGCCTGGAACACTTCCAGGGATCCAGGGGCAGCCACAGCTTCTCTGGGAACCTGTGCCAGGGCCTCCCACCCTTACAAGGAAGAATTTCTTCCCAATATCCATCCCATCTAACCCTGCCCTCTGTCAATGGGAAGCCATTCCCCCTGTCGCTCCAGGCCCTTGTCCAAAGTCTGTCTCCAGCTTTCTTGGAGCTCCTTTAGGTACTGGAATTGTGCACAGAAGTTGTGGTGTTTGGGGTTATTTTGTGTGCTCCATACACTAAAAACCCTTTGGGGAGGAGCTTTTGCTTGTCGTATTAACCCATTTAATTAACCTATTAATTAACCTATTTAACCTCATGCAGGATTTTAGGATCAGAGAAAGGTTGGGCTGATGATTTTGAAGGTTGGACTCAGTGATCTTGGAGGTCTTTTCCCACCTTAATAATTCCATAAAGTAGCTAAGGAGGTATTAACGTGGGACAAGAAGGGAGTGGATGCTTCCCCCTTTTGTGCTGAATATTCAATATTGAGTATTCAGTGTAAGAGAGGCTAAAAGGAATGAGTTGTGCTGCATTCCTGAAGGTATGTGCTGGAGTGCTGGAAGTGGTTTATCTCAAATGTTATAAAAACACATTTTGCAAAAAGCACCAAATGGGAGCCTAAAGGGATGGCAAAGCCAGGAATCAGGAGGCAATTGTGCCTACTGTGACAGAGGACAAGAAAAGAAATAGGTTGATGATAACGACTGTTAAACTTCTTTTTAAGGCACCTTATTGTGCTGGCTGTCTCTGGGAGCTGGGCTGAGAAATCAGCTTTAGAATTTCACACCTTCCTGTAAAGGAGAAGAGCAGGAAATATTGTGTAAACAGTTTGATTGAGATAACTAGATGAGATTTCTTCTTTTGCATCATCTCTTTTGGAAATCTAGACTGCAGAATCATTATCAAGTGTGAGCTTTAGCAGCACAAGTAGACTCAAGGAGCAAACAAGCACTGAAAAAAAAAAGGGCAAGTAGGTGCATGAGAAATGTTATAAAGAAATAATTTCAAATTCATTAATCATCAAAAGATATAGGTATCTCACATAAATTAATTCATGCACTTTGAAAAGCCTGTCCTAATTGTGGGCTCCTCCATCTGGGTTGTTGCTGTTGTGGGTTTTAACATATGGTTTTCTACAGGATAAGGAAATCATTCCGTCAATTGCAGTTTTAGATTTTCAAGATTGGGCCTGTTTTGACAAGAGAAAATTTTGTGAATGCTGTGACTGTTTAGGGGGAAAGGAAAAGTGGGACCAAGTGTTGTTCTGCAATTAATGCTCATTTCCTGGAGTCCCCAGGTGTAATTAATAATTTTACAAACATGAAGGGGACAGTGGGAGGGGAAGAAAGAGCAGTTTCACAACCTGCTATCAGAACCTGGTACAACATTCCATGTGTGCTATCCCAGGTTTATCCCAGGTAACAGAAGCACTTTCCAGAGCAGAGCTTCGAGGATTATTCCTGCCATGGGCTCTGTGGGAGCTCCCTACTTGCTGTGAGTGTTGGAAAACTGGACTGAAATGTAGAGTTTTATCAGGTTTTAACTGTTATACTGAGTTTTCTGGAGATTGGTGTAGTTTGGTTCTTGGGTTTTTTTAGTAAGACATAAGAATATGCTTAATTCTTGTTTCATCCAAGGGGTTTGTGGACTGTAACATCATAAATGAAGCTACAGAGCGATATTTTTCCTGGTTAATCGGAGGAGTATTTTAAGGGAAGATTTCCCTGAGCCTGTTCTGGGAATGGAATGAACTTGCTGAGGACCCCCCACCTGAGGATACCACGGGGCTTTTGGCACTGGGGATGCAGAACCAGGGTGGGAAAGGGGCAACTTTGTGGGGGCAAACCCAACCCCGAGGAGCTGGAGCGTGTGGAGGAGGCGGAGAACGGAGCCGGGGCGGCTCCCGCCCTTAAATGCCGCGGCGGAGCGGGATGCGGGGCTGCAGCCGCGGGAGGGAGGGAGGAAGGAGGGCAGGAAGCAGCATGGCGCCGCCGGGGGGCGGCGGGCAGCTGCGGGATGGGGACGGGGATGGGGATGGCGACAGGGACAGAGCCACTGCATCGGGCATGCGGCGCTTCACCTGGGAGGAGATCGGGCAGCGGAACGGGCGGGGGCCGGCGCCGCAGGAGCGCTGGCTGGTGATCCACAGGAAGGTGTACGACATCAGCCGCTTCTACCGGAGACACCCGGGAGGGGCCCGGCTCCTCGTCAGCCACGCCGGGCAGGACGCCACGGTGAGCGGAGCGGGGAGGCGGGAGCCGGGATGCGCCGCAGGAGGGCGCCCGGGAAAAGCCGTGCGGAGCGGGTTGGATTCCCGTGGCCTCAGCGGGAATCGGGGTGTGGGACAGAGCCGGGGGGGCGAAGTGTGACCGCTCCGTGCGAGCCTCGCCATCCCCATGCCATGGGACAGGGCAGATGAGGAGATGCAGCCCACGGGAACGGGATCGGAGCTGTTGCTCCAGCTAAATCAGAGCAACAGCTGGAGCGAGAGCTGTGGCTGTGTTCACAGGGATCTTATGTTGAGGGAAGAGACGGAGATCTGACTCCATATTTCAGAAGGCTTGATTTATTATTTTATTATATATATTACATTTAAACTATACTAAAAGAATAGAAGAAAAGGTTTCATCTCAGAAGGCTAGCTAAGCTAAGAATAGAAAAGAAAGAATGATAGCAAAGGCAGCTGTCCCAGACTCTCTGTCCGAACCAGCTGGGCTGTGATTGGCCATTAATTATAAACATCCCAGATGGGCCAATCGAAAATCCACCTGTTGCATTCCACAGCAGCGGATAACTATGGTTTACATTTTGTTCCTGAGGCCTCTCGGCTTCTCAGGAGGAAAAAATCCTAAGGAAAGGATTTTTAATGAAAATATGTCTGCGACAGAGAGCAGAGGAGCACATGGAGATGCTCAGCGGACTGGAGCACCTCTGCTAGCTGGGAATGTTCAGCCTGGGGAAGAGAAGGCTCTAAGAAGAGTTCAGTACCAGTACCTAAAGGGCTCCAAGAGAACCAGAGAGGGATTTTGGACAAGGGCCCGGAGGGACAGGACAAAGGAGAATAGCTTTAAACTAAAAAAGCGTTGATTTAGAGTGCGTATAAGGAAGAAGGTTTTGCTGATGAGGGTGGTGAAATACTGGCATAGGTGACCCAGAGATGCCCCACCCCTGGATGCTCTCAAGGTCAGGCTTAATGGAGCAATCTGGTGTAGTTGAAGATGTCCCTGCTCATTGCAGGGGGGTTGGAGTAGAGGAGCTTTAAAGGTCCCTTCCAACCCAAACCATTTTGTGATTCTTAAGTCTTCAGGATTCCTCTTATCTCCTGGTCTTGCTTGTGTCATTGCTGTGAGCTGCAGCAATTTTTTCCATATATAAGAGATATTTGAGGCTCATGGAAATCAAATAATTTTCAATCCATCAAGTTTAAATTTCAAATTGTGTATTAGTTGAACTTTGCATTCTGTAATTTCAGCACTCATTTCTCGAGTTACTACTGCCAGATTTCTTTAATTTTAGCATGCTGGAAAATCCCAGACAATGGATGAACCAGATATTTTGTTTCTGGGATCTGAGCCAGGTTGGTAGGTAGTTGGTTCCATGTGCAAATCATTAAGCCCTCCAGGATCTGAGCCAGTTTTGGGTCTGTCCATCTTGCAGTAGGTCCATTGCTTAATCTTTTGGGTATATATTATGAAAAATAAAGAAATTATCCTAATTGAGCTGGAAGATTTTAACCAAAAAGCAGAAACCCATGAAAGGTGGCAGCTCAGGAGAGGGTGAGAAGCACAGAAGGCTCTCAGTTAGCAAAGACACCTGAGGAATTAAAAAATGAGTATGACTAATGCCAACATTTTAGAAAGGGTGACACTGCACGCTGAAACTGTGGAGTCCTCTTGGTGCTGCTTTTTGTTGTGGTGTTCTCTCACAAAGGATAAAAAAAGAAGGATGCCTTCCACCAGACCAGGTTGCTCCAACCTGGCCTTGGACACTTCCAGGAATGGAGTGATTCAAAAGGCAATTTTAAATTTTTTTTTTTTTTAACAAAATCTGGATTTCTTTTCCTTTGTTGCTGTGCCTTTGCAGGATGCCTTTGTGGCATTCCATGTTGACAAGGTGCTGGTGAGCAAGTACTTGAAGCCTCTGCAGATTGGGGAACTGGCACCCGACCAACCCAGCATTGAGCCCACTAAAAATGTAAGTCTGTCCTTACAAAACAGATCAAAGGAGACTAAAGGGAAATATTCTGAGATTACACCATGTTCTTCTCTATCAGCATAGCTCCTGGACCAATGGGAACCAGGTTCCTCACATTTTTTGGGCTACTACTTAAAAACAATGTGTAAATATGAAATCCCTGAAGATGAATTTTTCATATCACAGCCTCTCTACCTAAATAGCAGAGTTATCACCTCTAATCTCCCTTGCTTTGAGGAAGAGCTAACCAAAAGGAAAAGGAATATTTTTGGAGAATAAATATTCTCCTTCAGCTGTAGGTCCATTTAATCCTCCCCTGTTAATCCTGGGAAGGGAAAAGAGAAGACAAATATAAGGAATAATTTAATGCAAAAACCTACCACAAGGTGGCATGGGAAGTTCATGCACACAAAGTACAGCTTCCACTAAACACAACTTCAGCTGAGCCCTCTGCTGCCTGCCAAGGATTTGATGGAAGAAGCACCGAGGAGGATTTGTTTTAGGGGTTGGGATGCAGACATTGTGATGGCTGCTCCTGGCTCCTCAACAAAAAGCTGTAGCAGGGCAAAGATAATGTTTATTAAACCCAGCTCTTGCCCTTTTAGCCAGATCCTTTGTTCTTTCTCCCCGCCATCAGAGTGGTTTTTGGGTAATGAGGCTGCAGTGGTGCTCTCTAAAACCACAGAATTGTGACCCTGATGCTTCCCCCAGGAAATGCTGGTGAAAGATTTCTGGGAATTGCGCACTACAGTCGAGAGAATGGGACTCCTGGAGCCAAACCAGCTCTTCTTCTTCCTGCTCCTGGCTCACATCCTGCTCCTGGATACAGCTGCCTGGCTCATCCTCTTCTACTTTGGGACATCCTTACTGCCCTTCGTTTTCTCCCTGCTGCTGCTGACCATTTCCCAGGTGAGCAATGAATTCCACAGCATGGCCTTGCATCAACCTATACACACACACATGTGAGCAGTTTCTTGTCCTTTGCTTCCTCGCTTGGCATAAAAACACAGCCACTATCTGGATGCCAAGAAGAAATTCTGCATGTGGGGATCTCACACTAAACTTAGTTTGGGACTCTTTCAGCAAGATATATTCTGGGGGAAGCCTTGGGACTGTCAGGATTCCACAGTCCCTTTCTGCTGGTGACTTGGGAGCAGTGTCTGGAAAATAAATCTTGATATATCAAGGCAAAGAATGAGTGTGGCACCATCCCTATCTCAATTCCTCTTTTTCTCCCCTCCTAAAGTTTTCTTTCTCCCCCTCCAGGTCCAGGCCTCCTGGTTACAGCACGATTTAGGACACCTCTCAGTATTCAGGAAAACCAAGTGGAACCACTTGCTACACAAGTTTGTGATGTGCCATTTGATTGTGAGTCCCTGGAAAACTTCTGAGGGTTTTCCTGTAAAAACATGTGTTCTGAAGATTCTGTGGAGCATGTGCAGCACTGGGGGGAGGATTAAGGTCAGGAAGTAAAGGGAATTCTGGCTCTTAAAGTGCTTTTCATGCTTTGTTCTTCCCTTGAACAGGGGGCCTCTGCCAAGTGGTGGACTCTCCTGCACTCCCAGCACCATGCCAAACCCAACTGCTTCCACAAGGACCCTGACATTGATATGCACCCTTTCCTCTTCACTTTGGGGAAGAAATTCTCTGTGGAGGTCAGTGAGTGGGTGTGGGAAGTCTAAAACTAAGGTGTGATGGCAATTTCTGTAATGAGGTTTATTTCTCCACAGTTCACACTAAGTCCCTTTAAGAATCTCTTGAACAGCTGATGTGTTGATGTAAATAAATTAGACATGATGTAAGGGCATTGTATATAGGGTGGAAAATCCACCAGCACATTCATGGTTGGAGAAATCTAATGACCTAGAACAACAACTCAGTAATTAATGATCATTAGATAACTTGTAAACATCAATCAATGTAAGGCATGGCTGCAGTCAGCCTGGAATTATTATTTTAGTATTAATGTATGATGCTCAGTCAGAGGGTGGCTTTGATGTGTTCATGTCTTCTAGGAGAGTTTGCTGTGACAGGAACAGCAGGACTGAAAAACCCAGGGCTGTTCCTGGCACTCCAGTTGGGCAGAATTTGTTGGACTGTGTAGGATATTCCCAGTTTGTCCTGCTTGGGCACTGCCAGGAGTGACAACCTAAGAGTGCTGAACCCCTTTTGCTGTAAATCCCACCAGTTCTTGACACCATCACAGCAGCTACAGCACTGAAATATTTTTCTTCATGCCATCATGGGATTGCCATTTAAGTTTAGAGACTCAGAGAAGAAAAATGAGAGAAAATACGTATTTCTGACCACTAACATAACTTAGCCTTGATATATCTAATTCTTCACAAAATGAATCATGAAACAAAGAATGAGGGTTGTGGGAAGTGTGCAAGAATAGTCTCTCTGGAAAATAAATGGAAAAGAGCAAGTTACCTGTGCAAATTGGCAAATTGCCTGGTCTCCACTAATATTTTTTTTCTGTGTTTTTTTTTCCCACAGCTTGGGATCAAAAAGAAAAAATACATGCCCTACAACCACCAACACAAATACTTCTTCATCAGTGAGTATCTCTATCCTTCAATTCCCTGTAAGGTATTAAAGGGGCTTGGAGATTCTACTTTTGACCTGGAGAACTTGAGAAAAACTAAGGTGCCTGAGTCAAAGAATAAAATAAAAAACCAAAATAATAACAACCAGATTTTTGGAAGAGTTGGAGACATCTTATCCTTGATCTCCCACATCCTCCACAGAGGCTCTGGGTTATGATATCTTACCACATCTTTCAGTAGTATCAAAGTCTGTGGGTTTCAGATTTTTTTTTTTGTTTGGTTTGGTTTCTTGGGGTTTTAACTGCAAGTGAGATGTCCTTTTGGAAGGCTGAGTTTGAGTTCTTCAGCCCCAAGTCCCTGATAGAAAAAGGATTTAATATTCATTCCTGTTGTTCCCCTGCTTTGCATCAAGGAATAAGGAGCCAGATAATCTTTGGGCTGTGAAAGCCACTTCTCAAAGTAATAATTTGTGGCTGTTCCTCAGTCAAGAGCCTCAGACAAAATCTGAGTTTTGTAAGAACTCTCAGATAATTGTCAGACCTAGAAATGTTTCAAGGCACTAAACCAACATCCTAACCTGGACAGTTCTCTAGATTGAGCGGGAATTCAGGACCCTTCCCTCCCAGGCTGATATTGTCACCCAGTCCATGATGGCACCAGTGATGAATTTTTCTTTCCAGCTCTTCCTCCGCTCCTGTTCCCCACCTACTTCCACTGCCACACATTCTACATTGCCTACACAAAGAAGTACTGGGCGGTGAGTGCTGCTGCTTGTGTGACCTAAAGGGGTCAGATGGGGACCGTCAGCCTTCCTTCTGAGCATGGAGCCAGCTCCTTGCTGGGCAAGAATGCTCAGATTCACCTCCTACAGCAAGATGTGAGAATGTATCATCAGCTTGTGTTGGATTGCTCTAGATTATTCCATTCAGAAAAAAAAATGTCAAAGCTGAAAGCAAATTGTTCTATTTTACCTATTATATGAGCTTAAAAAATAAATAAGCAAATGTAATTAAAAAAGACATGCTTTTCTTGTTGTCTCTGTTTTTGGTAGGACTTGGCCTGGATGCTGACCTTCTACATCAGATTCTTTTATACTTATGGATCTTTATTAGAAACAAAGAGTCTCCTGGCATATTATTTTATATTCAGGTGATGTGTCTTTAGAAGGTTCTTCAGCCTTTTCTTTATGCATTCTTTCCATCTGTACCTGCTTGTCTTTCTCTATGCTTATATTTCCACATTCTCCTTTGCCACCTCATTTTTTGCCTACTTTTTAATTCATAAATTCTTTTGTTCAATTGCCAGTGCAAGTTTTGTGTTGCCCCATTAGCTGAGGCAACAAAGATTTCACTGAGTGCTGACCAAACTGAGAAATATTTACCTCATATAACATTCAGTGCTTTGAGTGTTGGGTCTGCTGCTGCTTAAAGAGCACATTTAACCAAAACAGCTTAGCCTGGGCTTGCAAATGCCCAGGTATTATCCAGCAGCACTGACTTGAATGGACAGCACACTCTCCCCTTGGATCATTTCACTGATTCTAATCAGTTTGGGCCTTGGCTACAGATAAAACAAGCTGAACACCAGTCAGTGTTAACAAAACACATTAAATAATCATGAGTTTCATAAGGAAATACTAAACTTTCAGAGTTTGGAAGTCCTTCCAGGTGCTGGCTTAGCAAGGCTAGTGTTCAGCCACGTCTTTAAGTCTGGCTTTGCCATTATTTCAATGGCTCCTGCTGACCTGCTCACTCAGCACTGAATTCTCTCATCTCATTGCACAGGATGCTGGAGAGCAGCTGGTTTGTCTGGGTCTCACAGATGAACCACATCCCAATGGATATCGACTACGACAAGAATTTGGACTGGGTGTCTACTCAGGTAAAAGATTTTTCCCTTCTTAAGAATTGTGGCCATACAGGTACAAATTTTAACCATAAGCAAGTCTCCTGTTGCACTAAGGGTGAAATCTGTTGGTGGCTGGGAGGTGAAGGTTAATAGGCTGATGGGTTCAGTCATGGAAAAGGTAAAGGAGTACAGCAATGAGACACTCATGGGCAATGCAAAATGAAATCCAGGTTGAGCTCTGGTTCCTCAACAGACTCTTGGACTTGTCTCTGACTTTGCTTTCCTCTGTCCTCCTCTAGCTCCTGGCAACCTGCAATGTGGAACAGTCACTGTTCAATGACTGGTTCACAGGACACCTCAACTTCCAGATAGAGCATCAGTGAGTACTCACCCCAAGAGGGAATTTTCTTTCTCCTCCTCTTTCTCAAAAAATATTTCCCCTTCTCTCTTTTATTTTTTTCCTTTCTTATTATTTTTTGCTCTGAATTCTACAAATAGTTGTGGGGCAGCAGTGAGTTTATCTTTAAAACTTGAAACTCTTAAAGAGAATCATGTAATTCAGAACTTCTACTGGATCCACAGGATGACAAGAGAAAATGGAACAGGGGCAGGATCAGTGCAAGAACAGCAATAGATAGAGTCAATCCCAAGTTTTAGGGATCAGTGGAAATGTCCTGGCTAAAGCACCTGTTTTTAGTCTGCCATAGGAGTTTAAAGCCACATCTGCTTATTTTTATGCTGTTACTCTATAGAGTGAGATATGCAAGGATGAAGGATGGGCTCATCTCCTCTGTGCTATGGAGAGGGCTACTCCTGGAAAAAGGGATGGAGGGGAAAGTAGTTTCTTCCACAAACATAGTTTAATTTGGAGACAAACTGTGGAAAAGAACAGAAGGGAAAGCAGGAAATTTCTATGAGTTCCTTGTGCTAAAAGCACAGCAGGGGGAAAGAGGAGCTGGGAGCAGTTACAGAGCCTGCTCATTGTGAGCGGGGTGATTCCTGGGAAGCACTAATGGTAGGGTTTCCTGTGAAGCTTGTCTGTCTCCCGTTCACAGCCTTTTCCCTACAATGCCACGGCACAACTACTGCAAGGTGGCCCCTCTGGTGAAGTCCCTGTGTGCCAAGCACGGCCTCGAGTACCAGTGCAAGCCTCTGCTCACAGCCTTTGCAGACATCGTGCAGTGAGTAAAAACAAACCCCCAAAACTGCAGGGGGATGTAGGAGAGACTGGAATCCTAAAAGCAAGAGTTGTTTTGCTCTACCTTTACCCCTTGGGCACATGGTGACTCTTGGGGATGGTGCTGTCCAAGGCAGAGTTGGATTCAATCTTTGTGGGTCTCTCCCAGCTCAGTTTATGGTGAGATTCTGGGAAATGAGCAGAGACAGAACCTCATTCCCTTGTCCCAGCAACACGCCCCTGAGCAGCCCTGTGATGTGTCCCCTCTTTCTCTCTCTCCCAGCTCCCTGAAGACCTCGGGAGAGCTCTGGCACGATGCCTACCTGCACAAATAAATGACAAGGCTTGGTGCGACCATTCACAGCCTGCCGCAGATGCATTCCCAGCAAGCTGAGGGGCAGGGACCACAAGGGACTCTCTGGCAGAAGAAAGTCAGTAAGGACTGAGGGATAAAATTCCAATAGAGATGAAACTGCCTGAATTTTTCTTCTGGTTTTTCCTGGGGTTGTGGTTCAGATATGTTAAGAGTGGACAGGGCAAGCAGAAGGTGAATTGTTAGAAGAGGGAGGAGCTCTTTGCTGAGTCTGGGCATTTCTGAGCCTGGGCATGGGCTCAAGTCAGATGATGGACTGGTGGAGCTGCACACACTTAACTTCATGTCAGAGGCCTCTGATCATGGGCTTTGGTTTTGTTTTTTTTTTCCTCATGTGGAGGGTTTAATGCTTGATACAGCATTTGCTTACTTGAATTTGAAACTGCAAAGGATTTTGGATTAACATGGTGTTCCAGCAATGTGCTTAAACTACAATAAATCAGGATAACCTACAAACAACACTTAGACTGTAGCAAGTGCACATGCAGTGAATGAAAACATAAATGGGTTTTCATTACTATTCTCTAGAGCATCCTCATTGTCACAAGGCCAAGAAACACATGGGGTTAAAGCCAGCTTAAGGCCTCTGCTCTCTTCAAAATTGATCTGGTTTGAGGGATTTTTTTTGTATTTTGTGTTGGGCTGAGACGTGTGCACACTCCACACACACTCCCCCACCTAAACAGGACTAAGATTATACTACAGAAAGGTGAACAAAAAGTAAAACAAATCACCTACAGACATTTGGTCATATCTGAAAGTTGCTGTTGCAGATAAACCAAGATTAGATCAGATTTTGGCTGTGCCAGGCAGAAGGTGAGTCAGTGAAAGAGGCTGGTCCAGGCACTTTTCTTTGTCTCAGGTGAGTACATACTCAGACTCCGAAATGAAAGACCAGCTTTTGGAAAGGAGACTATGGGAACAACAAAATTCACTTAAATATTAGCAGTTAACCACACTTTTTTTCAATAATTCAAGGTTAACAAATAGAAAACTCAAGAGGTAAAAAGATATAAAAAAAGTCTCTGATGACGTAACAAATGGACTCTGTACTACTTGTGCAATGATTGGCTGATTACTTAAAAACCTTTAACCCTGCACAGTCAGCCAGAACAAGGGAAAGATTTGCTATTAAACCATTTTTCCTGCCTTGAAAAAAGTTCAATTATGTTCAGAGGTTAACAGCACAAAGTACAATGCCTGACCCATGGGAGCAAAAGAAGCAATTCCCAAAAACTCTGTGGAAGAATTAAGAAATGAAGCAGAAGTCACAGCAATATCATGTACTCACAAACACATTTCCACTACTTTAAAAAGCCTTTTAAAATTACCTTAAGCAGCCTTTGAAAATGATTTATTGGGTAGATGAAAGGCCTGATTTTGACGATCATAATTTGATTTTTGGACCTTTGACATCACTGGGCTCCTAATTCAGTACCCCTGCAAGTCAAAATGCAATTAACAAAGAGAGCTGTGAATGTTTCCATTGTTTGAGGACCCAACAGTGCTCCAGTGAGGACAGGTGTGCAAGAGGACTGAGCAAGACTCAGATGAAGGGCTGTGGATAAATATGAAATAAAGCCTAAGCAATAACTGGATGAATGCCAGAGCAAACAGGAGCAGCTGCCAAGTCTTCCCTGGGTTATCTTTGAGCAATCCTAGCAGTATCACTCTCAAATAAAAGGCTGCCTGCACTCCCTCAAGAAAATATTGGCTAGCTGGATGAGATTTTACCAAGAAGATATCCCAGAGAGGCCCAAAGAAGGAAACACATACAAATTAGTCATATAACCCAAGAGAAAAGCATAAACAAACAAAAACAAAACAAAAGCCCCCCTTCCCTCCCCCCCGCCAAAAAAAATCCCAAAAAACAAAACAAAACCCACTCACTTCTGTAAAAAAAGTTACGGTACATGAAAACAGAGTGAAAAAAAATCAGCATCAGCAGTAGATTATCTTCCTTAAATGTGAACGATGATGAAAACAATACAAAATATTAACTGGCTTACTCTTAAAATACAGCCTTGATTCCTGCAACTCTGAAGGGCAAAATTTCATTCTTTTTTTACACTATTATCTTGGAATCAGACGTTCAGGGAACACAGTTCCTACTTGAAATAATACTGAAAGTTTAAATTCAAAGTGAAGTATTTTTCCAATAAAATCTCTTACGAAAAGTACTGAGTGGCTAAAGCACCCTGGACTCTGCACATACACAATAAAAAAAAAAAAAAAGAAAAAAGATTTCTTCATTCCTGGCTTTCCAGCTTCCCTCCACAAAGCTGAGAGTGTTGTTGAGACCTTGTAGAGAACACAGGAATTATGATTATGCAGAAATTCTGTATTTTCATTTGTTTTGGGGAGTATTGCAACTGTAACTGAGTCTGTAACCAGTACCTGCCATCAAAGTTCTTCCTCAATAAATCTTACAACATGCAAACACAAGGTCAAAGATTGCCAACTGTGGAAAAGAGAATCATACAATAGTTTGAGTAGGAAAGTGTATCTACTACTGTGTCAATCCTGAATCAATAATCACAGGTACAAGCATTTGTTGTATTGGAAAAAATAACCCAAACAAACATCTAAAAAACCCCCAATGTTCCCAATTCTGGTCAAAGTTTAAAAATGGGGAACCTGAGAGAAACAAGCAAAGAATAAATACTGAAATTAACAGACATAGCAAATCTATATAAGGGATTTCTGTGGTTCATCACATGCTATGAAAGAGGAAACTAAGTTTTCCTTCTGACTTGGTTCATTAGAGATTTACAGTATTTGAACTGCTCTGAGTAGCAGGATGTAAAAATATTCAGTATGTTTTTTCATTGAAAAAGTAAAACTATCAGTTTATCAAGCTTCAGTCTGTGATCTGAGAACAAATTTCAGCCCAGCTCTTGAGGGCCTGCAGTGCAAGGATTTTTCCAGCTGCTCTGGGTTGAAGTCTGACTTTGGGCGGAATTCCAGGGTGACAAAATCCAAGCTTTCATCAGACAATTAAACCACACAGGCTCTGCTCTGTAATCCAGGCTGGAAAAGTGTCATCATCAACAGTCACCTATCAAATACTTCACTTGTTATTTTTACACCACTGCCTCGCTGTTCAGCCTTCATTTGCTTTCCCAGATATGTAACAATGCATCACTTTATAACCTTCTGCAAACACAGGGCTGGTTTTGGGAATCTTCTTCATCTTACTGATCCATCCCAGCTGGAATCATCCTGAATGCCACAAACCTGGCAAAACTGCCTTAAAATTCAAAGAGAGCCTCAGTTATTTTCCCAATTCTGTCCAAAATGACTTTAGGCCACTTCTGATGTTTAATCTCCAATGTCAGGGTTGTGGTTATGTTCAAGGCCACCTCTGCATGCCACACAACTCTGACCCCAAACATTAGCTCAGACTGAGGTCAGCAATATTCCCTGGGGAGGGCAAGGGTCAGGCTTTACCCTGCACTGCAGATCTCTGTGCAATTTGTTATCAGCAGGAGATAAGAACACACAACCCATCAGTGGATCGATTCACTTCTGCAGCGCTGGGCTGGAGTCTCACAGCAATCTGAGCTCACAGTGTAGAGACAGTCACAGAGGGCTCACCCAGTCCAACCCCTGCAGGGAACAGGAACAGCTTCCACCATCCCAGGCTGCTCAGAGCACCATCCAACTGGGCCCTGAACAATTCCAGGGATGTGGCACCCAAAACTTCCCTTGGAATCCTGAGCCAGGGCTTCATCATCCTCATAAAACATTTTGTGAGAAAATGGTGACTCACCTGCCTGCAAGAATTCATGGATGAGATATACAAACAAACAGCGTTCTTCTGCAAGATGGGCAACAGCTATGAAATATTTGGCAAAACAAAGTGACAGGTTAACTGGAAGCTGAAATTATGGATACCCAAACACTGCTTAGCAGTCAATTCCTATCAATGAGCTGCACTACAGAAAGGAAATCAGGGCTTTCTCCAACATCTTTGAAGCACTGGACAGTCCGATTCAAACCTACCTCACCCTTTTACTCCCCACATAACATTTAGCAATCCCATGAACTTCCTCATCTCCTGGCACAGTTCACTATAAAAAATGTGATTCTGAAATCTGCTCATGGTTTTTGGATATTCAAGTTCCAATATACTGGGGAAGAAAAAATAACCTAGGAATGAAGGCCTATTAAAAGAAGAGATACTGCTGGAGAAGCTGTAATTTCCCAAACATTAGTTTCAAATTCATTCCCAAATCCACTGCTGGAGATGTGCATCTAAAATAGAACAGGAATAGGAAAATGTTGAGCAATTCTGCTTTACAGATCACTGAAATCATATTGCAACAACCTGGCAAAGGAATGTTTGATTTCAATTGAACAGAATACAAAAACAAAACAAAACTGCTGTTCTGTCATGTCAACAGTCTCTTTACTCTCAAAATAAGAAGGTGTAAATGGCTTTATTGTCTTATTTATCTGAAGAAATAACATTACTGTTCTTCCAGTGTTGCCTAGTGCTCTCCACAGCTTTGGGAAAAGCCAAGTTTTCTGTACACTTGTCACAGCCAGTTTAGCATAGAACACAGGTCATTTAAGTCATTTAAACACAATTGTGGAGTTGAAACGTGAGTTTTTAAAACAAAGGCAGCTGCAAAAAGTACATCCAACCTACAGCTTCTGCACCACCTCCAGAAAAACAGATGAAGGGATGTATGAACTTCCTAGATTAACACAAAGTATTTGAAGACATTTGCACAGAAAACATGTTGCCAAGAGATTTTTCATTCCATTTATTTCAGAAATAAAAGAAAACAATATAAATCACTTAGCAGACACAAAATTAGAAGATCAGGCCTTGTTTACTCTTTTCCAAAACTTGTCAGGATTCTCTCCAGCACAAAGTATTCCCACCCAATCATCATGTCTGATAATCCCACATGCCTGCTCAGGTAAAAAGCCAACAGAATCCTAGAATACAGTAGGTTATCAGTTCATATTATGTTACTGCACCTCTACCCCAGTTGATTTTTCACAAGAGGTTGGTAGATAAATGAACTGCAGAGCAAGTAACATTCTCCAAAATTTAACAGAACAGCACTTAGTATCTACTCTCCTTTACCTGCCACCATTCCTGGCAATTCACACTTAAATCAGGAAGTAATCCTAGTCAAAATACAACTCAGGGGAGACCCAGAAATGCAGTGACTATTGACAAATCACCCCCAAACTGCTATGATTTGATTTTTTTTACATTTGCCTGAGTTAAGAGCAGTAGCTGGCTCTGAAGTGCTTTGCATTTAGCTTGGATAATAATTATCACATAACTGGGGTCCCAAGATTTTTTGCACTATTTAACTAAACTGCAAATGCTGGGTAACATTACACCATGCCTCAAATCAGGTTTTAGACATATCTGCTAGATATTGACATTCATACAAACATGCTGCCTTAATGAAAGGATCACCCTAAAAATTAGCCCTGGCTTGATCAAGAAATAGCAACAGCAGATTATTGCAGTAAAATAAGAATTTCAGCAACCACTGGGAATGGTTTTGAAATTTCTTGAGCTTGAATTTCAATATTAATGCATTAGAAGGTTTATTTATTAACATTTGGCATGTTCTCTATTTAAAGTCTTACAGATTAGAAAGAACAATTTATTCTCCTACCCCTGAAAAGGCTGTAAGGTGTAATCAATTTAGCTGAACAGTGCATGGAATAAGAAAATATCCTTTGCTACCTCCCTTATGTCAGTTATATCCCAACACAGCATTAGTAAGCAAAGATTATCTTAAAATATATATTGGGAATAAGACTGAACTGTATTTAGATGAAACTCTGTAATTAGCTTTGTCTCTCTCATAAGGAATGAGACATACCAACATTTTACTCAAGGTACTGGGTATCCTTTTACTTCTGGAAGGCCAAAAATGAAATTCAAGAGGTGTGTTCATAAATACAGACAGGTAATTATTTTATTAGAAATACTGAACAGCAGCAACTTTTTAAGCAGTTTCTCCATGAGGGCAACCACAGTGCCCTTATAGAAATTCTACTGTGTGATTTAGCCAAGAAAGTCATACAACAAAAAAAAAATGAAGCAGTATTTTGATTAAATTTCTGTTTGCTCCTAGAAATGAAGGCAATTTCTTATCCATGAGTTGTTTAAAAATCCCCTAAGTTATTATCAAGCAGTAAAGCACTAGTGTTGAAAGGCACTAGGATAGGAGCTTGTGTTACCTGATTTTGAGTACAGACAGCACTTGAAAGCTCAGTAAATCACACCTGTAAAATACTCCTGTGCTTGGGCACAAGTCTGCTACATTCATTGAAGTGTTGGACAGGTTCTTGTGCAGCTGGAAGGATGCAAAACTCAGAGCAGATCTCTGCAGATTTACAGGTTGGATCTTTCCTTGACAGACATATGAGTTCCGGACTGTGTGTATGTTCTAATTACATCCTGAAAATAAAGCAAGAGAAAAACTCAGAGCAAGTTCCATTTAAAGTAAAGACTTGCAGGAAAAAACTGAATCAACTGAGTTGTTGTTCTTTGGAGCAAGCACTGAGCCCAAGAAAGGCTTGTGGCAATGTTTCATTACCATCTCAAAGGGTGGGTAACCAACCTGAACACATTTTATATCATGTACAGCTACCTTCCAGAAACCCTACAAACCTCAGCTGAAACAAAGTCTTTGTACACCACCAGTTAATCAACATTTAATTGTTATTAGAGGACTGTCTTATTTCACAATTCTGTAAGCACTGACTTCTGGCCTTTAGCTCAAATGGGGATCAAGACAGATTTCTCATGTCATTGGATTTACAAGAGAAGCCAAAATAACTCACAGCCAGTCAAAATGCAACTACAAAAATCATTACCTTTTTCCCACCCTCAGCATTGAATTTGTCCAGCAAAGCCTGGATACAGGCTCCATAACTAGGATGAACATCATGGAAGTTTTTCACCTGCACAGGAAGACAAAACAGAAAAGGCAGTAAGAATTTTTTTCCTCCATTTCAAGAGGGTTCTTTACCACACTTCCTGGGCTACAAGGAGTAGGTATCATAAGGAAGAAAAGTTGAATTCTGATCAGTTATAAACAAGATATGAACATCTCCAAAGACATTTTCTGTTATGCCACACAGAGCTCACTCCCAATTTAAACAAAATTGCCCTGGGAAGGATAAGGATCCAATCCCTCCTTGGCCCTCATTGCCTTCTCCTTGTTTAGAGCAAAACCTTACTCTGGCAGTCATCTGATTTTTAACAACACTGAGCTAAACATATGTTCAACACCTGTCCCATTCTTCCCCCCAGGAACAAGTTACTTTAACATGTTATATACTGATGCTATATTGTGTAAATAGGCAAATATTTAAGTATGAGAATTCCAGAGTAAGAAAAAATCCAGCCTTTTCAGAGAATTCCTGATCTTCCTTTCCAGAAGTCATTATGAAAATGTTACTAGGCTGATAGAAAACCTGGAATAAACCCCAAAGAAGGCACTTACAGCTCGTTTCTGAATGAAGAGCTGAGCATCCTTCAGATGTTCTGCAATGTTCTTACACAGCCTCTGGCGCTCTTCCTCGTTCAGCACTTTGAGGTAGAATTCTCGCACCTAAAGGAAATAAAGGTTTATTTTGGTAGCCCCAAAAGTGAATAAAAATAGCTTTCACTTCCTAGTCAAGCAACACTTAAAATACTCAAAACATTTAAAAGGCATCCAATCTGTCAGGGTTTTTCTTCGGCAAATATACCAACAACTTCTTCTCCAGACACTAATGGCAAGAAAACAAGTCAGAGCCTCTACCTAACAATGCCCAAAATCTGAATTTCAGATTCTGTGAGAACTCACACTCTACACACTCCTCATTGTGTGCCAAGCAGCACAAAGTCTTCCCACAGCCCCACCTGGGTCACGTTGTCCTCATTGGCACTGTTGAAGCGCTGCACGTCCCCTGAAGCAAACATGCGGCTCTCCTTGAGCTGGGGCTGATCCTCAGGACCAGTGAAGCTGTTTGGATAATAATTTGGGGCACCACCTGGGAAAAAAAATCATCCCCAAACCAAATCAATCGGATGGGAGCACTTTCAAGTAAATCAGAAGACAGAGGATGTTATTTGCTTGGAGGAATCTAAATCAATTACTGAGACAGGATTCATTTTATTAAAAACAGCTGCCAGCATTTTTCTGTCAACACCTTCAAGCCTGCTACAAAGAGAATTTCCACAGCTTTTCTCAGAGAATATTGCCTCAAAAATAAGAAAACCTGGCCACAACAATACTTCTCAATTATAACAGAAAGTCATGGCTGAAGTTTAAGGCAGCATAAAAACACAATCATTTACATATCTGAAGTACTATAATGCTTCCCTGTGTAGGGGGTGTATTTTAAACACCTAGTGAACTAAGAGAACTGCATAAAAATAAACTCATTATCTGTTCTGGGACAAGTGCAGCTGTCCTCAAGTTCCTGTTTTTCAAAATATTTCCCTCTCCTCCCCCAGCAAGTGTCTGAATTCATAGCCCAGAGGAACGCATATTTTGGCATGAGCCACAGCTTAAGTACATCCTTGTTTACTCTTAGGTGGAAAACAGCCATATTGGGCAAACCCTGACAGAACAGAAGCTGCTCAGTAGAAGGGAAGCGACAGCTCTACTCTTGGCATTTTCACTTTTGTCTTTCACAATCTCTCAGAAATCTGAAAGCAAAGCAGTTTAGTGATGTGGACTGAGCCAAGTCAGTCTCTAAAACCTGACTTCAGGTATTCTTCCACAAACTGCTTTCCTGTTAAAGACCTTTCTATTAAGTTTTAAACACATCCTAAGCTTTGTTTGCTTTTTATACTTTCAAACAAACTCCTCATCTCGTATCCAAATATCCCAAGTCTCCTTTACTGGATTAACAGAGAAGATCTACAAGCATTCTACACAAGTACGTAAAGATAATAAACATGGATCGTAAGCCCCCTATGAATTGAAGGGCACACAGTAGCCCATGCCTGAGCATGATTATATTGAAATTATTATATTGAAAGCTAGCTACCTTGGTTGTCAGAAACAGTCATTGGCCCATCCCTCTGGTAGTTGGCCACCCTGGCTCTGAAGGGACAGTTGACAGGGATCTGCAGATAGTTGGGGCCCAGGCGGTGTCTGTGGGTGTCAGGATAAGAGAAGAGGCGCCCCTAAAACATTGAGCACAAACACGAACCACCACTTGTAAAACACTGGGGCATGTCAACTCAAAGCTTTCATAAGCAGCAAAGTAACCAATGCTCCTCAGGTCACACCTCCTGTTTACCTGCAGCATTTTGTCAGGGCTGGGCTCAATTCCAGGAGGCATGTTGCTAGGGTCATAAGCCATCTGTTCCACCTCTGCAAAGTAGTTGACAGGATTCCTGTTCAAGACCAGCTTTCCCACAGGGATGAGAGGGTAGTCACCATGAGGCCAAACCTGTAAGACACAACACACATCCAGTAAAATCAACATTATTACAGTATTATGCAGCTTAACCGCCAGGCAGAATTCACCTGATTTCAGTCTAGATTAATAAAATACATTACTGAGTTTCTTTTCTCTTAACAAACATTGAAGAATGTCTTATTTTAAGAAGCCTCCTGCAATCAACACAGATTATTAATGCAATTTATTTCACCATCCCAGCATAATCTCAGCACTTGAGTACTTGAACAAAATACCCGCAGGCCCTTGAAAAGCTGCCTAGGGAAGCAGGGCGTGGGTGGAACTGGTGGCAAAAATGTTTTCAGTTCCTTCAAAATGCTTAACTGGCTTAACTGACCTTTTCTTTGCCATCTGAGCTGCACTTTTTAAGTTCAAAGGTCTTTAGCCACTTGGGGAGAATGGTGTTAGAGGTAAAAAAAGAGTTTATGCAACGCTAGTTTATGTTGTCATCTTTCAATGAGGCATTCCTAGGAGCAGCTATTGGAAGTGGGACAAAATGAGACCAGCAACGCTCAGGGTGTGACTCTGCTCTGAGATCACACTTCTGAAGTGCCATGGGATCTGCAGGCCTGGAATCAAGCCCTACCCATATTTCCCTGAGGAAAAGTAACATCAGATATAACACAACTACAGCTTCACTCCAGAATTCCTGGCTCATCGTGGCTCTACAATAAAGAATACACTTAAAAACTACCTGAAACTGAATATTCCCAGAATTATCAGACATACCTTAGTCAGATCAAAAGGATTAAATGGGAACTTCTCTGCTTCTTCAAAGGTCATAACCTGAATGTAGAAGGACCATGAGGGAAAGTTCCCCTTGGCAATGGCATTGTAAAGGTCCCGTATGGCATAGTCAGGATCAGTAGAAGCCAATCTTCCTGCTTCCTCCACAGAAAGGTTTTTGATGCCCTGGTCAGTCTAAAAGCAATTCAAGCACCAGTTACAGCATGCAGAAAGTACTACAGAGATTATTCATCAAGAATGGATTTTAACAAGGTTTATAATCCAAGAATGAGACTGTCCAAGTTCTGACTTCCAGTAACTTGAGTTTAGATTCATAGTACATTCAACAGCTGCCTTCCAGATAAAAATCAGTTCATTGATAGTGCTCCATTAACAAGAGACAGATGCCCAAATAAGAGTTTCTTACAGTCTAGTAAATGAATAGAAGAAGAGAGATGCCTCTCCTACTGGTTAAGGGTATGAAACTGATACTCAACAAGGACTCCACAAACCTTTGAACCTGAATTAAACTTGAAAAGTCACAGATCTTTATGGTTTTTATCCAGTATGATGTATAGTTTCAATTAAAAAAATCATTACCTTGGCATGGAATTTGCAGTAAACTGCTCTTCCATCAGCATTAACCAGTTTGAAGGTGTGTGATCCATATCCATTCATGTGGCGATAGCCATCAGGAATGCCACGGTCACTGAACAGGAAAGACACCTGAAGAGAGGGATCAAACGCTATGAACGGGCTCAGCATATCAAGGAGAAATTCTTCACTCCAGACTAAGTTTGTTTATTGTTAATCTGCATCACTGGGAGTTATGTTAATGCTGTCAGGAATTCCTTGAGGAATTTCTACTTTAAGTGTTAATGAAATAAAACTGACTCCCCTGTAAGCATAGGTAAGTATGAATAATTTAAAATCAGATTTAAATAAAATATAAATAACACTATGTAGACTTCTAAATCAAAACATGGAAAAGAGAGAGTTAAGAACCTGCTGTCATAACATGATTATCTTATCATACAAAATAAAGTCACGGGAGAAGCTTACTTGATGCAAAGACTCAGGGCGAAGACTCCAGAAGTCCCACACCATGTCTGGATCCTTCAGATGAGTCTGAGGATTCCTCTTTTGGCTATGGATGAAGGAGGGAAACTAATTCGTCCAGAAGTTGAAAAGGAAAAAGAGAAAAAAAAAAGAAAAACAACACAAAGCTATAAGATCACTGAAAAAAAATCTTCTACTGCTATACCCTTCCTGCCAAACACATTAATTCACAGACCAGTCAGTAAAATTAGGGTAATGTCAAACATTCACAATTAGAATAAACAGAGGTAAAGAATGCTTTCATTTTGTGGTTGATAAGGTGAGAGATAAAACTGTTCAGATTTGTATATCTGTGTTTATGTGACTCATAAATGAATATAGAGATACTATGAAGTATCTGTGCAGAACTCCTGCACTCAAGGAAAACCCCTCTGCTAGCTGCTGTCAAACTTATGCCAACAGACCAAAAAACCCCAGATTTAATAAACAGAATTGGCAAGAAGGTTTTCAAGTGAAAAGTTCAAGTGAAAAGTATGAAACCATGTAAGTTATCAAGCTTTAGTTCTTTATTTACTTTTGTTTAAGAACATCTTTCCAAGTAAAAAACGTTCAGACAATCTGACGAGCAACCAAATTTTTGCTTCTGAGGGAAGTCAAAACAAGATGCGAATCAACTTTTGGGCTTTCTCACAAAGCACCCTCACCTTTTGTGCTTACTCACCAACATTGCATCCCGAATAAAGAAGATGGGAGTGTTGTTTCCCACAAGATCCCAATTCCCATCCTCCGTGTAGAACTTCATGGCAAAGCCTCGGGGGTCACGAACTGTGTCAGCTGAGCCAGATTCTCCAGCTTGAAGAAATACATGAACACACAGAAGTGTTAGGATAGGAAATGCATATAAATATGAGCTGAAAAGAGGCCATAAAATCCTAAAAGGGCAAGGTTTATTGCAGTCTTTTCTACACCAAGGAATTGTAGGAATATTTTCAACAATGCTTCAGGCACTGTGAGTTTTCAAAGTGTAAAGCCGACCAAACATTCAGGCCTCAGTTAAAAAAAGGAAAAAACGAAGTATATCCACTTGAGCCAATTAAGAATGGAATTTGCATTATCACTAAGAGAGACATCATCAGATTTTAAGGCTGAATCATCTAAACCCGCACTCGTTTCTGTGCACCAAATCCCAGTGGGAAAGCTCTCATCTGAAAGGTAGCAATCTAACCAGCGTGCCTAATAAAACACTATGGAAAAGCTGTAATCCTTTTAATTCCTCCTGCTTCACCCAGGATGGGATTTTCAATGGGAATTTAGACCAGAGCACAAGTGCTTAGCACAACACCTGTGCAGAAGTGTTCCAGAAGTGCTCAGAACAGCTAATGCTGAATTGTGTTGAAATCAGTAGGACACTCATTCCCTCGTTAAAAACCTTGTGTATTCCAGAAGAGCAGGGAGGGAACGTGTCCAAACAGGGCAGACAAAGGGAAGGGAAGGATGCAACAACCTGCTCCAGCAGCAGTCCACATTTCAAACTCAACACAGTGTCCTTACCCTGTACAACACTCAGGACACCCTAAATCCTAAGGGATTTAAGACTGGAAACAGCCAGTAGGCCAAAGCCAGCAGACTCCTGAGCCTTGCTGGACTACTTTTTTTCTCTCCAATACTTCCAGAACTGAATCCTCATTAGGACTTCTTTCCTTTTAAATACATCCACATCATGAATTACAATTTTTCTATCAGACAAGCTACTGATCACAATCAGCTTCAACTAATAGCATTTAAGATTTTGCTAGTTTGTGAATTCCAATCTTTAAGAAATCAGAGTTTATTTAAGGAAGACTTTTTGGGTTTTTTTGCCCAGTATTTAGTTTACATCATTTATCCCCAAAACATTCCTGCAGCATAAGAGATCATAGGTATTTAACTTATTAGTGTTGATTGTGATTCAACCAGAAACAAAGCAAGTTTTCTGTCAGAAAAAAACAGCGGGGGCTGCCCTCCCTCTCACATTTCAGACAGAAAAGTGTCTCCAGAGAGCTCTGACAAAGAGGGGCAAAAGCTGCTTGAATTTCAGAGAAGATGAAACCAGCACTGCAGACACCCTTCAGTGCCCCACAATGCAAACAGTGCTCTCAGGACACACATGCAGAAGACACAAAGGGAATTTAGAGCCTTACCAACAGTGGAGAAGCGGATGGCAAGCGGAGTCCTTTTCCCAATGTGCTCAAACACTTTTGCCTTACAGTACTGGGTGATATCATGAGTGACTTCAAAATAGCCAAAGGCTCCTGAAGAACAGCAAGTTCAAAATATCAGATCCAGGTACCTTCCTCCCACTCCTAGCTTGTCTGATAACATACAACTTGAAGTCCAAAGGAAGTACACCAGTTTAAACAATGCTCTAAACACTCCATTTTCTTTCACAAAATGAAACTGATTTAACACAAGCTATTTGTGTTAAATACATTCTCTCCTCCTTAACTGACTGTTACCAGCTTCCAGCACAGAAGATGCTCTTCTGCCAAGATCTGTGGGTTCATCTGGGAGCAAGGCAGGTATTTCTTTAATCCTTCTATGAGTTGCAGAATTTTTGGTGCATCTGTAAGCTGGGTGAAGCAACACAACCCTTTCCACCCCCACAGAGGAACTTTTCCCATGTACAATCACATTTTAAATATAGCCCCATATTTGCTCCTTCTAGGGCAATGCATGACAAAACTCAAGGTACTAATTCTACCTTACTAAGATCAAGAATAATTTTTTAAAGGCTTAAGGTTTTTTAATTTAATATTAGATTATCAGCTTGCTTTGGCAGACATACATTAGAAGACAAAGCCAAATTCTCTATTAAGTAACATGTAAACAACATTGAAATAGAGATGGGGAGGAACAGACAGAAGAAGCAGAGACTACAACAGACACAGTAAAAATTGAGGGGCTATAGCCATATTTTCTCTCATTTTTGTAAACAATTTTCCAGTGCTCCAAGTTTTGAGTTCTTTTAAACCAGGCCTTACCACTGTTGTTTATACAGATTTATTATAGCTAGTAACACTAAATCATAAATAACAATGTAATTTAGGCATCACAATCTACACATTTACTCAAAAGCTCTTTAATTCTACACAGAGAAAATATGTGATTTTAAACATACCTGCCCCTTTTGCATGCACAACTCTCTCAGGAATCCTCTCTCTGTCAAAGTGAGCCATCTCATCAGTGAAAACAACATCTTGGACAAGAAGAGGTCCACGTGGCCCCAGTGTCAGGATATTCAGCTTATCCCCAATGGGGTTCCCAGAGCCTGTGGTCAGGACATCTGGTTTCTGGAAGCAAGAGAAAGTCACTTTTAACACCAGAAATTAAAAATCCTCTGGATCTGAGCCACACAATGTGCATGACTCAATCATTACATGTCACAGAACATATCAACAAGAGGTGGCAAAATGACTTCAGATTCTGAGGGAAGTTACAGAACACACAGATGTTTACCTAAATTACAAAGCAAAGTTTTAGGACACTTTAAGAAGGAGAGTTGAAGTCATGTAAAATCCAGGAATGTTTTCTGTGGCTCAGAAGTGTTTCTTCTCAAGGCCACTGAACGCATTTCAAGAAAAATATGGGATGGAAAAAATGTCAGAACAGGGGTAGAGACATAAGGAAAGAGCTACAGTCAGACCAAAATGGGGTTTCCTTAATTAGAATTGGTCTGGAAGAGTTATGGAAAACAACAGAAGTAGGAATACCTGAGGAATCACCATTTTAGACTCCTGCACCATGGAAAGACGAAGATTAACACAAACCCTAAGAAGCTCTACTGGCAGGAAATGTCCTACAACTTCAAGAAACACCTGCACTAGAACTGAGTTTATGAGAATATTATGAGAATATGAGAATAGAATTTTCTTATAAAAAGATTCTAGTAGAAAAGACTTCATCTGCATCACATGTGGGGTTATATGCTCCTCTAAGGCAATATTCCTGTTTTACTGGGTGCTGTGGAAAATGTAGCGAGAAAGGCACATCAGCTCCAGAGACCTGTTGGTCACAGTTTTCAGTTCTTTCTGGAGTACATTTATTGTTAGGAGCCTTGTAAAGGACTTAGAGGAACACAAAAAAAAATAAGGACCAAGGAAAAAATAAAGAAAATAAACACAAAATTTTCAACAGGGTGAGCTCAAACAGAGTTACAGATTCCAGCTAACAATAAATCCACCACAGCTTGCACTAAACTGACATAATTCTATATGGGCTCTCCATCCACACTCTCCAGAAGCATCCACACACCTGAACCACATCAGCACAAACTCCCTCAGCCCTTCCTGACAAGTTCTCCTCCTTTAAAGTTCTATAAATGAAAAGGGATGGTGGAGAGAAGGAAGAAGCAATTCTTGATGAGAAAAGCATTCATTATTCTAACAGTGACTGCATGGGGTTCCAATTCTTACCCTAAGTTCTGCTTTAAGGGGGTTAATTACTGCAAACAGACAAAATTCCCATCTGATAGAAGACTTTATTCCCCCCAAAAGGCAACCCACAAAGGCAAGGAAAGAATAATTATTCACATCCACACCCAGAGCTCTGGACGAGGCAGAGAACACAGGGAGTTCCAGACACCTTAGTTTCACGCAGGTCCACAAATAACCACATAAAAGACATTTGAGAGGATAAGTGCATTTCCACTGTGTTCCTACTAACATGCAGCACGTGCTACTGCAGCTGGCTTAAACTCCCAACATATCCACCTTCTTTATTGCTTCACCACTTCATTAGCATAAAGCTTTAAGCATAAATCCAATTCCTCTGGGATGCCTGGAATCCTCACCTACACTGAAATCTGCACAAACATTATAAAAGACAATAAGCAACTGGTTACAAACATAAACATGATGTTCAGAAAGTTACAGGGAAGTTAAATAAAGCCAAATTTGTATTTCAAGTCAAACAAACATCTGCTTAAATCAAAAGGTTGTCTATAGCTTCTTATGGGAAATATGCAAGAGTAGAAATTGTTCTCAGTATATTTTCCACTGTTTATTTATTATAGACTATTCTAAAATGCCAATATTTAAGGCCACCAGAAGTAGTTGCTAAAACCACAACTTATTGACATTAAGGCTGTAAAAAAAATTAACAGCTTTGTGGCTGTACAGTCTCCTTTGTGTAGGCAGACTTTCTAGTGTTCACATTAGAAGTAAGGAATATTCATTTACTTAGTTTCAGGATAACGTTATGTGGGGCACACAAAGCAAGTTCCAGAGAGGAACAAAAACCAAACCCATAGTTTAAAGAAGAACTCTCACACTACTTTTGGACCCGAGTTTGTTTGATGCCTGTGTTTTCCTCTGGCTGGGAGCTGCACACAGCCCAAACCTTGATAGGTAAGAGCTTTCAGATCTGTATTTCATTACAGCACTAACCTGCCATGACAAAAAGAAGGGAAGGAAAGCCAGGAGAATTTTAGTTGCTGCTATGGCAAACAGCACACATCAAAGTACATACTTCCAGGCATTACTGATACTTTGCACCTCATACAACTCACTTTAAAATTCTAATAAGTCCTCCCTACTTTCTATCTTAAAGTCTCATGACTCCTTATGCAACACAGACTTTGGGTTGCCTCCCAATCTCCAAATTAACCTTGGCCTCTTTTCAAACGCGGCTCTGCTACAGAAAAGCCGACATCCCTACAAAAATAATTACTCATGGATAAAAAAGGAACTACTATGACACATGCTAGGATATGATGGAGTCACAAGTCATCAGGTAGTTTTCGCACTGTACCATTGGGAACCGAGAGGAAAAAATAAAATTAAGACGACTTAACAGCTCCAATGGGAACTGAAACGTCCGCTTGCGTCTTGCAAGATTGCCACTTAAAACCAGCACAAAATGTATTTAGTAGCAAATACACGTTTCGTCAGAAACGACATGTGGAAACTGTCACAGCGATTTGACGAAGAAGGGAAGTGAACTCTTGCAACATTTACACCTTAACCTAAATATTTGGAGTCTATTCTACAGCTTCAGATGACTGAGCGCCATGCTGTTGATTACATGCCCTTACGATTTCAGTCAGCCACCTGTCCCAGTCCACTTCATACTACTAGAGAATGGTTTGGGTTGGAAGGGATCTTCAAGGTCATTGAATTCCACCCCCTGCCACGGGCAGGGACACAGGGACACCTCCCACTATCCCAGGTTGCTCCAAGCTCCGTCCAACCTGGCCTTGATCACTTCCAGGGATGGGGCAGCCACAGTTTCTCTGGGAAACCTGTGCCAGGGTCTCACCACTCTCACAAGGAAGAATTTCTTCCTAAAAAATTCACTTCGGTCTGGTCACGCAGAATACGCTGAGCTGGAAGGGAGCCACAAGGATCACCGAGTCCAACTCCTGGCCCCGCACACACTGCTCAACGTGCTTTATCTCTTCTGTTATTCCCTAGTCACATTTCCACCGGGCTCTACCGCCGTGACAGCAAACCGAAACGCAAACTTCTGATTTAAGACAGAAAAACATCGCCCCCAGGCCTGCCCGCGGGCCCGCGGCTGGGGCGCAGCGCAGCCCCGGCGCTGCCGGGAAGGATCGGCCGGGGCCACGCAGCGCTGCCCGCCCGTATCGCTCGGGGCCAGCTGGCAGCCTCCAGCCCTCCGTGCCTCGCTGCTCCCGGGCACAACTCCAACCATGGGGGCGAGGCCGGGACGGGCCGAGGGCGCCTCGCCCTCCGCCGCTGCCCCGGGGACGCCCGGGCGCTCGGAGCGCCGCATCCCGCTCAACTCCGCGGGGCTCTGCGCCCTCCGGCGCCGCGGCTCCCGGGGGATGCGAGGCGCAGGGGTACCGGGGAGCGGCGGTGCCCGGCGGGTACCTGCGAGCCCCGCTGGTTCTTCCACTGCTTCAGCTGGTTCGCGGCGTCGTCCCGCCCGTCGGCCATTTTGCGGTCTCCGGCGACCCCCGAGGCAGCAAGGGCAGCGAGGAGAGGAGCGGCGGGGCTGTGTTCGCTCCCGGCGAGGAGGCAGCAGCGGCGGGGAGCTCAGGCCGTGGCCCGGTCACGCTGTCACCCCGCGGGGACCCTGCGCCACCGCCGCGTCCCGCCCGCAGCAGCCGCGGGTAGCGGCAGGCACCGCCAATACAGCTCCGCTCCCGCCTGCGCCCGCCCCCGCTACCTCCTCGGCCAATAGCACCGCGGCCAGCCGCCACCGCGAGGTCTGATTGGTCTAAAGACACGTCAATCATGGGCGGGGAGGTCCCGCCCCCTCCTCGCGCTGTGAGGGAGAGGCCAGCGGCGCTGTCGGGTTCCTTTGAAATTGAAAGGAAATTTACCAATAGCCCAGCGAAATTGACCAAAATCCCTGCGAAAGGGATTTTTCGCCTGTAATCGCATTGTTGAGATGCCGGAGATTTCTAAAACTGCTGGTGGTGGAGGCGTTGTGCAGTGACAGGAAAAAGTTACAGGTTCGCCACCGTGAAAGCTGCACTTACGGAGTTTCTGAGGGAGGGTTTGTTTCAGCAGTGAAAAAAATGCTGAAACTTTTGTTTGCTGAAATTTGCTGAAACAAATTTGTTTGTAAATTGCAAAATCAAAGTGACCGATATATAACTATATAAATTATGTAACTATATAAATTACATCAGTGTCTAACTACATACGGGCTCATTCTTGTATTGGTGCCTGAAATGGAGTAGAGGTGGCTCACTTCAGTCATATGCACCCAACAAAAGAGCATTTCTTTGGTGACTGGTATTTTTAACCTTTAAAACCCACCCAGTTCTGAATGATGTGGTTATACTTACAAATTGTGAGTAAATATGACATAAGTAGTTTTGATAATACTGCAGAATATCCCTGGCTTGGGCCTATGCACCTACTAAGGATGACAAGAGTGACAAAAAGCTGGTAATTTTTCCTATTTTTGAGGTAAAACCTTTCAACAACACAAATAATCCATCTTAAACTCCTTATCTGCAAGATTATATCTACATTCTTTGTCTTAATAGATACAAAGAACAGTCAAACTTGTTAATTCAAATAGACAATTGCTTTATCTGGTACGTGTTATTATGGATTAGAGGGTTAAAGCTCCCAGACTCAGGTCTGCACTATACAGGGGATGTAATTACTTCTATTCCTTTTCTGCAGAATTAAGAACAGCAAGCTCCATTTTTTTCTGCTTCACCATTTATTGGGACTTCTTTTTCATGTCTTGAAGCCTCATAATCTTTTCTGCTTCAGCATGATAACCAACATCATAAAGAAGGGCAAGGAAGATTGCTTATGTTTCTCATATTTTTATATAAAATATCCATCAGTAGACTACACTTACCACACCTAGATTTAACAATAGGATTGCCCACATGATTTTTTTTTAAATCAATAATTGCTATTTCAGTTTGCTTAACCAGCAAATTGGGGGAAATGTGAACATTTTCATCAACAGTCAATATTTGCTTTTCCTTTACAGTTTAACACTTTAAATTTTAAGCAGGCCAACATGTTTAGGTAAACTTGCTGGTCACAAATCAGTTTCAAAGTAAGAGTAACTTGCAAAAACTTCTTTCCTTTCCTATGAACCTTTCTTATTATATGCTAGAGGAAAGGATATATGTGCATATACATATATTTACATGTGTGTGCCTGCATAAAAAACAAACAAGAGATTAAATATTGGCTGAGGAAATATGCAAACCCCAAACCAAAGCCCAGGAGATAGAAGGTGGCAACACCAGTGGCACCTATTGCAAACAGTGTTTGCACTTCAGTTTAACTAAAACCAAGTGACTGCATTTCATAAGAAAGGTCAAAGGCAAAGTTCAGAGTGACACAAATACTTTTGCCTCTCACCTTGCTCTAATTTTGTCTTAGAAAATGTCTTTTCAGGAAAAAAAAAAAAAAGCAGTGAATGCTGGTTTGGATTCCACAGGTATCTGGCTGTGGGTATCTTTGTATTTTTCCTTTCCCCCCTTTCCTATCTTGATGTTATTTGTTTCCTGCAGCACTTTATTTGCCTCCTGTTATATATCTGCATTAAGTAAACAAACTTCAAACAATTCCAAATTAATCATCTTTATTTACCTGGGGAGACTGGTTCTCTGCTGCCACATGATTTTTTGAGGCATGATCCAAACCACACTTTGCCCTTAATTAAGATTTGGGGAGATTAAAAGGCAGAGTGCTTAGCATTTGTGTATTGTTGTATTTAAAGTGAGTTTAAACACAAACTGCAAGGTCAGTGTCACTCACGATTGTGCTGTAAATAGAGTTTGCACATAGCTCAGTGATTTACACCCAAGGAAAGGATCTAGAATTAGTTGAGTAGCAGGTCAGCAGCACCTCTTGCTTTGCTAAATAAGTTCCACAAGCACCCCAAACTTTCATCCTGCATCTAGCAGCCCTCTCTGGCTGCCTTGGTCCCTGCTTGCTCCGTGATTAAATCAGAGTTGCAAATGTTCCCAAGCTCCCTACAACAACATCTGTGCACTCTGAGTGCCTCTGCTGCAGAGCCAGAGCCTTTAAACCCAGCACAGAGCATGGGGGACAAGATGACTTTTACAATAAGAGATCAGGAAAGAGAAGCACAAGAGAGAGTGTGCTGACTTCATAATTAAACTGATTATTGATGAGAACACTTACCACAGGATTGGGAGGCTTATTGACCCTTCTGCTAAAGATGTTCAAACTTGTATCTTCCAGAGGATCCAAATTATGCATCTGGAGGTGAGGCTTGGATATGTTTTCTACTCTGAGCCTCAAGGAATAAGGTCAGAAAAACATCAAAGCTCTGGTTCAATCTCACACAATAAAAGTATAATTGATATGACTGAGTGTATTTTCAGTCACAAAACAAATTCAGCTACTGCATGTGGACCAGTTATGAAATAATATAATGAATCTATTCTCAAGACCTGAAATTTTATTTGGCCTTTATCAATATCTAATATTTATAGATTTGCAGTACCTCAGAAACTTTTTCCACTCATCCTTCTGCTGTCATGCCTGGTGTAAACATCAGGGCACAGAAAAAGCATGGAAAGAGCAACACAGAACAATAACATGGCAGAGGATTGAGAGGTAGGTATGGCAGCCACAGATCGAAGTATGTTGCTATTCTATTATAGACAAAAGCAGAGATTTATTAATAGAAACAACAGATTAATGTCAGTTTTAATGCAATAAAGAAAACACTCTGTCTGTGCTGATCCCCAACACACACTCAGGGCAATTTTGTACCTCCAGCTGGCAATTACACAGCCGTGAAGTTCACACTGTGAAAGGTCAGCCAGCCCCTGGGTGACACGTGCGGAGGTGTCTGACACGGTCTGTGGTGAGCACAAGAGATGGAACAGGAGATGGGTAATGATAAACTGGGGATCTCTCCATCTGTAAGATAGGTCTGAACACATTTTGCAGCTTTGATGATAAGTTTGTCACTCAGTAACTTGCATTGTGCATGGCCTGTTTAATTTTGTGTTTTCAGTCATCTAATGGAAAACATGGAAAGCATGGAAATACATCTTCAGAAGAGGTGGGCTTTAAGGGGTCATTGAGGGGACAACAAGGTAAGCAGGCAGGAAGTCTGACTTTTATGGGAAATAGCACATTGGAGTGTCATTGGACAGAGTGAGATACTGAGATGCACAGAAAATGTGAAAAATCACCTAGAAGAAAATCAGGGAAAGGATGATAGGAAAGTTTGCTTTGTGTTTTGTCATTTTTAACCTTCCTCTGCTGCAGTTATTAGGGCAAAGTCTCAATTTAAATTACTAGGAAAAAATTAGCCTCAAATATAGAAAAGTGTGTTAGAATATTAATAATTTATATGTTTCAAGCATGTTTTTATTTGCTTCTCTCATTCTCCGTAGACGAGAATGACTTAAGTGACTTTGGAGCAGTTGTCTTCAACCTTTGAGGTTTGTATGGGGTTAGTAAATGCCAGTGGTCCTAGACCTAGTCCTTTTTTACCAAAAATAGAATTTAATTTATATTAATTTCTGTATAATGTATTGCTTTTCATAAACTACTCGTGATCATCGTTATGAAGAATTTGTGTTTCATATTTAGTGCTGCAAAGACAGCTGCAATCTACTTCTTGAGATCAGCGAAGGAACAAAAACAGGATAAGAAATGCAGCACTTCTCAGGTTGTGGGGTTTTCAAACATCTTTAGCATCCTGGCTACCTCAGTTCTGTGTTTTTACTCCTCAAAACTGCACCATTAAAATGATTTCACATCATAGACACACACTTTTCTTTTTGTTAATGCAGATTTGATTTCCTTTCAAGTTAGAGTGCCCACATGAATGCTTTTCTCCATTTGTTCTCTGTGTTATTAGCAGCATTGTCTGAAGCATCTACCCAGTGGCAGTTCATAAAACCTCCATTTTGGAACCTGATTTTGCCCATTGGAGCTTCATTCTGCATAAGAAAAGATTTAAAGCTAAACACTGCCATATTTTGTTCTGTTGTTACAATCAGAAGCTCTTAACCTTTTAAATGGGTCAACCCTTGGTATGACTTAGTCACATGTTCTTTAAATTAGTCAAGTGCTTAATTAGCATGCTGGATGTTTGCATGTATAAATATAGATGTTTGATCCAAGAGATACTTTGATACTCTAGGTGTCATTTCATGTGTTCCAATTCCACAGAAAGAAGGGAATCCTAAATGAACAGAGCTTGAAGCTGCAGAAAATGAAAGGCAATTAAAAATGTTGTCTGCCCAGCAGGACTGGAAAATCAGGCTATTATTTCATGGCCAGGAAAAATCAGATACATGCCTTTGAAAAGTTTGGAGTGATGTGTGTAGCTAAATGCATCAGTAGGGCTCTAGGCTGACACATAGAGATTATTGATATAATTCATTAACACCAGTGATGATGGATTTCAGCATGGCTCATACCTCAAATTTCAGATAGTTTGGTACTAAACAAAGTTAAAATTTGTTTTTTACAGTGATGATTTCTGAATTTCCTTGGGAATATGGGATCATGGTGCTGACTGGAAAATAAAATATCATCACAGGGAGCTTATGGAGAAAAACCAACAACAACAGAGAGAGCAGCCAGTGGAATGGCAACAAACCAGATGAATTTGTGGAAACCACAGCAAACATGCATGCTGGAGAACAAGGAAAGGC